ATCGTCTTGCCTGTGTTTTATTATTATAGCCAGTAGGTATATATAAGTACATCTACCAGTAGACCGAATCTCCCTCGGCACAGACTGCATAAAATACGACTCACCGTGTCTAGATACCCGGCAGCCGGGAACTGTTTTCAAAAAACTAGATACTCGGCAGTCAGAAATTTTGACCAATTTTTTCGAAATGCCGGGCCATATAGACACTTCCAATACGACTTGTTGAAGTGTGCATTTCTTCCTTCTCTGAGGCTAGCTGCCCTAAGTATTTGACTTTCTCATATTCAGTCGGTGCCGCCAGTTCTACAGAGTCATCGTGATCGATGATTTCCTCCTTTACAGTTCCAGAATCGGACGTGGACAAGCGAAGCTTCGAGAATCGCTCGCTGTTTTCTCATGGTTGAGGCTCGTGTTTCTCGGCGTGTTCAGAAAATGACGTCACAAGTCAGAGAACAGTAGCTTTGTATTAAAGAACCGCAACTCCAAACCGTGGGCTCACTGGAACATAAATTTGTAATGGCGGACGCGAAAAACCAGTTTCAAGTTCAATTTTTCACTTAGAGGGCGCCAAAGTTCATTTCAATGACCGAACCAGGTACAGCCAATTCTCATAAGCTGAAGAGAAAGCGTTTTTGTGACAAACTTGTAGTAGCATTTAATTCCTGAACCTTTTATAAATATACCGTAAAATTCCGAAAATAAGCTCCGGGGCTTATATTTTCCAAAGGCCCTTTTTGTGGGGCTTGTATTCGGGGGGGCTTATGTACGGAGGGAAATTTGCGTTTCAAAATCGATTGGGTTAGCCTTATAGCTGGAAGTAAATCTACCGTTTTTGCTTTGTTTTACTTTGTCTTTGTCCAAGTACAAGCCCCCGGGGGGCTTATATTTAGAGGGGCGATTTAACGGAGGTTTTTTGCGTTACCGGTTTGGGCGGCTTATATTTGGAGGAGCTTATACATGGAAGGGCTTATTTTCGGGATTTTACGGTATGATCTTTAACTACTGATTAATTGATGAAGTAATACTTTTTATCAAATTCTAACTATGTTAATGTATTTTCTTCGTTTTCGATCACGAGACCAAGTTGTGGTTAGTCGGTCACAAAATTTTGAGCCAAAGCGTCGATGTTTTGGGGTTGAGTCTATTTTCCCCTTTGTTGTTTTTTAGCTAAGTTTGATGCAGTTGCATGAACAAGTTTTTTTTTTTTTTTTTTTTCAATTATCGAGTATCGTCGATGTATTGCGCGCTCGCGAAAGAGCGGGCAACCTAGTTCTAATTGCCAACGAGCCATCCGAGCGAAGACGCTCAGATGGAGAGGAGGCAGCAGAATAGAGCCGCGCAAGACTGAGTTGCAATAGGCAGAAAAATTCTCGATAGACCTGAAAAAAGTGTAACTCGTAAATTCGTAACCCGTAACCTGATGTAATGTAGATTCCCCTGAGACCAAGTGGTCAGTTTTGAAACAATGAAAAGGCAGTACCTGGCGCACGGGCTCAAAGTGAATGAGGAAGCTTTTTAAAATACAAAATTTCACACAATTCCCGCCGTCGCGACTTCCTGCCTTTATTTACCTAAATTTATTCGTCAATCCTGGCCACTGCAGTCAAGAAACATGAACACTTGATATATTCTAGTAATTTTAGGGGCCATAATGTTAAGTTTTAACGAAGAGAAGTTTGTAAAACAGCAAAAGTGTTCTATGTGCAATTCCACAAGCAACATTCTCACCACTAAAAAAGATCAGATTACACGAGAAGATAAGGAAAGCTTGGAAAATCTGGTGTTGCGGGAAAAAATCTAACCAGCAAACAAAAAAAAAAAGAGAACAAAAACGAATTACAAGCCTAAAGCGAACGACAAAGGAAAAGAAAACAACGCTATTTTTTTCCGAAGCCTGGCCGAGTTCAGTATAAAAAAAATGAACTAAAATACCGACGTGCCGTACATCGCATGTCCTAGGAAACATTTCAGATGGCCCAGCGAATCATTCTAAGTTTCAATCGGATACCAAAAAGCCTCGGGAAATTTGAAAGGAGATTGTAATGATTAAACTGTGCAAATATTTATCTACAATGTGAAGCCGAACCGACAGTAGATTTGTAGCTGGACTTAATAATATTCCCGATCGCTTCCTCTGCAAAGCTGATTTTATTCGTTCAAGACACTTCACACTTCTCTCATAGAGGGTTTGTAAAGTCACCAAATGTAGACTGAATCTGAGAACTGACTCTCCTCCGGAACCTCATAAAGTGTTACATCCATAACACCTTTTCAAGAAAATAATCCTTGCAACAGGAAGGGACCAAGAAACGGTCAAATGGGGAAAAAAAGAATTTTATTCCTAAGCAAAATACGCATGATTTGCTCGTTGGCACTCTATCGATAGGTATACCTAGTTGTAAAAGTAGTCACGGACGGGATAAGACGGGAAGAGAATAACAAAAAATCTACTTCACAAGGAGGACAGTCAGTAAAATTTGAAAAGGCTTTCCCCCATTTCCTCAAGCCCTCCTTCTCCTCTTTAAGTAATAATGATCGGTTTCATATAAACTGACTTACCGGCAGGGACTATTTAACCCGCGCTTTTAATAAGCGATTTTCAAGGACCTTCATGCGGACAAGCGAGCCTAGATCACGCCACGCCCAGTTTGCATATATAGCCAACTTATGTGAAGTACGAGTCACAAGTGTGATATGTTAACGCACATCGCATGTTTGTGACGGGAAAATGACATTTACTGTTTGTTTCTTATGGGGCCTATTTGCCAAACGCAACCGATCCTGAAAACGCGGCGTTTCATTTTCTTGAAAATCAAACAGCTACGGTTTGCTTATTTGGAAGGTTTTATGTGATACGCCTTTCAGCTTCGAGAAGGAAGCCCAAATGTAGCTATCTTGGTTGTTTGCAATAATGAGGGGGCGGACGCCCATATGAAAGGGGCGGGAATACTCGTCGGAAATTTGGAATAAAACCCTTAAAGGAGACCAATCTGGGCGTGGCCCAACCTTTTTTTGACCCCTAAGAGCGATCATTTTAAACTTTGATTACATGAATAGAGTAGACGAAACGAATTCAAACTATATAATTTTTAATATTTCTTCGAGTGCATTCCTAAAGGAGACATTTACGGCTAAATATAACGGTGTTTTGCCCAGAACACCCTAAGCGAGCCCAAAATCTCAAATTTACACCCCTAAGGGAGACGACGAGCATCCCCGCCCCTTTATAATGGGAGTCCCCACCCCCCTTTCACTCGACAGGCTAGAGTTTCGGGCAAAACTAGTTTTCACGCGAAATTGAGTGGGAGGTTTTTACTGAGACAGCCTCTTCTTTGTTGAGAAACAGCCGACGGAGATTGCCTACCGCGTAAAAGATTTCTGCGTCTAAGGTGGTTATTTAACGACTTATTAACGAGTGGTACTGTCCACAGATGTATCTCATTTCGATTCAAGCATTTAAATTTTTCTAACAGCCAGTTACTGACAGCTCTACTGAAGATACTTGGTGACATTTATGTCAAAGAAGTCTTTGTTTCTTTCTGTGTGGTTTGCGTACCCGCGAGATTATATCGATAACTAATCAATGACTAATCGGTGACTGAAAATTTTGTGACCTATCGATTATTCATCGATTACTCATGCATTGAATGTCGGATATAATCAATGACTAATCAACTGATTACTTATCGATTACCTATTAAGTGCTAATTGATTTCATTGATGTTATTGATGTCTCATCGATTACTTATGTCTGGTGTCAGTCACTATGCCGTTTTCTAACTATTTCTAGCACTCAACTGGTTCCTTATTAGGAAGATAGAGTGATTTACCAAGGAAATTGGGTATCTATATGTCACAGACTGGGGTTATATTTTCATCCCAGGTATTTGCCAGCCAGGTTGGAGCTATTTTAGTGGTTACTGTTACTTTACAAGTCGCACTTGCGGCTCATGGCTGACCGCTGTATCAAACTGTTCTACGATGAGTTCCAGTTTGGTAACGGTTCATAACCAGAACGAAAATGTCTATATTCAACATCGCCACAACGGAGAGAGATCTTGGATTGGACTCAATGACCGAAGTGTGGAGGGATCCTTTGTTTGGGCAAACAAAGAAATAAGTAGTTTTAGATTCTGGGCGCCGCGGCAACCGAACAACTGGAGAGACGAAGACTGTGTTCACACTCTTGGAGCTAATCTTGGTTACACTTGGAATGATGTGCCTTGTCATAACTGCTATAAGTACACTTGTTTTAAAGGTATTAGGCATACCAAGATCATTATTAATTATGCTTTATGACGCTCAGTTAGCAAGACATTCAACTACATTAAATAAAGACGTAGCACAAGATGATGGACCGAGCAGAAAAAAAAAATCTAGACACTGATTCAACTAATCAGACTAGAATAGTTTAAGAGTGGTTGAGTGTTGAAAACATTACAATTAACCAATAGTTAACCACGATGATAACGACTCAGGTAGATTCCGTTTACCATTATATTTGCAAAAATCATTCCTTTTACCAAAAAAAGTTCACAAAGCCTGACATCGGTATCAAAGAAGAGTTTGAACATTCACTTTCTTTTGGCAGAAATAGAAAACGAAATTCCGTTTTAGACAGGCATTCTGTTCGGGTAAACGTTCATGCGCTCCTATGTCTTAATTTTATATATTTTGAAGAATCGTTTAAATTTGTAAATGGTTTAAACATGAGCTTTATAGGGTAAGCTTTGTATCTTCTTTTTGGCGAGNAGCTTTATAGGGTAAGCTTTTTATCTTCTTTTTGGCGAGTCACCCCGCTCCCCCCCCCCCACTCCCATTTCAATTTCTCTTGACAGTTCACCCGTTAGTTACACAGCTATAGACAAAGGAAATAAAATCTTAACTTTTAAGACAGGTTTAGACTAAAGAGCGGTTAATCTTTACACATGGGCAACGCGGTGTGTTTTTCCCTTTTAGACTTGGATGAATGTACCACTGGTTCCCATTCCTGTGACGTCAATTCCGTTTGCCAGAATACCGTGGGTTCATACAAATGCTTGTGTAACGTCGGGTACACAGGAGATGGAAAACCCTGCAATGGTATATAATAAGACTGAGGCCACGTTCACATGAATCCGGACAATTTTAAAACGACATATCTTTAGTTTTATCCAGACTCGAGCAAACGAGACCTTAAATCAGTGAGCGGATTCATTGTTTTTTTGTGGACAAAATGCCGATTGGTGTAAAAAAATTAAAAAAAATAATGATAATAATATAATAATAATAATAATAAGAAGAAGAAGAAGAAGAAGAAGAATATTTAGGTATATAAGGATTTACGTATATAAGAGATAATGAGAGTGTAAAAGCAGAATAATTTTCTAAATAGGCCTCTATTAGAGATAATCATATCATTATGTATTTTAGGATCGTATTAGGTTTCGTATCGACCTTTTTTTACTTTTTAAGTATAGCTTCTCAAGTGGTGTAGGCTACGCTATGCGCCCTATACTACTCATAATGTGGATAGCATTCCAAAGTTTCATACTGCGACATAAAAATAATAATAACAATAATAAAAAAGATATCCGGTTCTTTTGGACGGGGTCTGAGAAGCGAATAAAGTTGAAAGGTGCAATTTCTATGCGGCGTTAAAGAAACTCTCAACACAGTCACTTCCTTGTTTCGCAGTAGAAAAAATGAATATATTGACCTTAGCGACCAGATGTAAACTATAAGATAGATATAATAATATCAGTGATTCTAACTCTTTTTGCAATTTATTCGTTCTCATGCAGATATCGACGAGTGTTCTAACAACTCACACAGCTGTGGCGTCAATGCGGTGTGTAGCAATACTGTTGGATCGTACACATGCGCGTGCAAAGTAGGTTACACGGGCGATGGAAGGACGTGTTCAGGTAAGTTGTCGTATTGTATATATAAAAAAAGGTAATCTGGGCGAAGTAAATGCATGTGAATAGACGTATCTCTGTTTCTTCTGGGAAATCGAATTAGCCAAAGTGAATGGCTGCTGCCAGGGTAGATCGTGACAACACCAACTACCAACTACATCCACTACTAGAAATCTATGGTGTTGAAACTTCTCATACAGGTCACTCTGGCTGGCTCCTCCCACGTCAACGATCTCTTATAGTGACGTAATACCTGCTGTAGTTCGACCGGACTCGTCACCGAGCAAACTGGAAAAAACCCTTATTAATTCAAAATACTTCTGCGTTCTGATTGGTTTAAATGTCCCCAAGCTAACTCTTCATAACCAGCTACCTTTGACCAAATTTAGAAGATGTTTGCAGATATCCTCAAAGATGTATCCTCGGAGACCTAGGGACAGTTTATTAACAAGTTGCGCCGTTTCTCCTGACTCGACTGAGGTCCAGCCCAGACGAATCTGGAAACTGCATATATTTTTTTGAACCCGTATGTATGAATATGGACGAGGTCTTAAACCCATCGATCCGGAGCGGGGTTTAAAAAAAGATGCGGCCTCGGTGAGAGCATTCATAGGTTTCGAGTGGACAAAAGGCTGATTCGTGTAAAAAAGAATAATTATGTGCGGTTTCAAAAATATGCGGATTCGTGTGGACGTGGCTTGATTCCCACTGGGTTACCGAGAGATTTAATGCTTAATCGTTTTCAAAAAAAAGGACAGCTGAAGGCTTGGTAGTTCAATTTTGGTAATGCTGGGGAAAATGGCGGGGACGAAAAAGAGCTGAACTACTGCCTAAGTTCAAGGCAAAATTAAACAGCAAACATACCACTTGACCGGTGACATCTGCTCTTGAGGATAGATATTCTTTAGACTATACATCACTTATATCCTGGCATGAATTTTTCGAGGAACACATGTACAGGTACATGTTATAAAGACAGAAACTTTACCATGATGAAGAGAAGCATGATTTAAAGTTTTGAAATATATTAAATGAATAAAAGAATTGTTTGATTCTGCTTTTAGCTTTTGTATGATATGAAGAATTATGCAGAATATTTTTTTTTCCGTGGGGGGGGAGGGGGGGGGGGGGGGGGAGTACGCTGAACTGCCATCAGGCGGATGTAAAATCTCTTATCCTTACGCCAAGCTTTATTACATTTTCCCAGATATCGACGAGTGTTCCACCAACACCCATAGCTGTGACGTCAATGCGGTCTGTAGCAATACTGAGGGATCGTACGTTTGTACGTGTAAAGCAGGATTCACAGGCGATGGGCGAACATGCACTGGTAAGCCGTTTGGATCGTTTTCTAAAGGTGATTTAGAAGGAATGAACTTGTTAAACTCGCGTTGAGACGCCGAAAAAGATTTTTGGTAATTCAATCAACAACGACAACATCAACAGGAACACCCGTCAAAAATTACTTGACAATTGCAATTATATATTTTGTTGAATAGTAGTAAACACAGAGTACTGGCTGCCTGATAAAGCCATTAGATAGCCAATAGCAGGCAGGAAGCTAGCTGATTTGAGCATGGGAAAACCTCGAAACTAGGCGCTCGCATATAAACGCTATCCTAATGTGCAAAATCCTCAACTCATCCTCATCCTCAATCTGCCCCATTTTAACATTAGCCTGAGACCAGGCTCCGCATTGGGGGAAAACAGCACAAGAAGGGGTGAAATAAGAAAAATGTGGGCTAGCAAAGTGAACATAGCGGTAGTCTACCGCTCGGCTCGCTTCGCACGCTGTTTTGTTGTTGCTGTTGTTGTTTTTTTTCCTTTTTACCCCAATGCAGAGCCTAGTCCATGGCTTTATTATCATATGAACTAACCGAACTAGCACTAGCCTGCGTAGCAAGCGTTTCCAATCGAGTTATTGCGCGAACGTTAGAGCGAGATTCTCGACAAACTCGCGCGGAAACGCTTGCTACGCAGGCTAAACTAGCATTTCCAAGGCCAAACGTTTTAAGTATAATGGCGCAATGCTCTGAAATAATCTTTCTTACGAGGCAAAAACAGCGCAATCGCTTTCCGAATTTAAAAGTAAACTTGTCTCTTTGTCTTCCACCGAGTCGCTCTGATTCCATAATTTGTATGTGTGTATATCTTAAACTTGTACTAAGCTCTTCAAAACTTGCTCCAACATATATTGTGGAACTAGCTATATTGAATGTGTAAATTTTTTTTTTTATTATGCTTTTTTTTTTATCTTTAATAACATTTATTCAATCGACAATCAAAAATACTTACAAACACTACGATACTTACACTACTTACAATACAATATTTAGAATACAATAGACTAAGGTACTTACTCTGTTTACAATGTAAAGACTTACAATACTCAGTACTCACAACACTACCTACTCACTACTCACACTACAATGCACTATTTACAAGCAGTTCTAATTAGTAATTGTATTTCAAAACCAACATTTACAAAACCAAACATTCACGGTAAACGCACTTATATCTTAAGTGTCTTAAAGAGGCAGCGATTGTGAAGCAAAAGATACACCAGGTTAATGCTGGAGAAAATGAGCAGAGGATCGAGATATACAAATGTATAAAAAATCAAAGGCTTACTGAAATAAGGAGCTCACATTTTCCCATTTTTTTGGTAAAATGGGACCTGCAGTGGTCTCTATGTGGTAGAATGATTTGAGGTATTGCAGGAAGCCTGCTATCTTTGGCGAGGTTTCCCTTCTTTTGCTAATCCAGATGTAATTTCTGGCTAGAAGGAAAAGGAAATTAATTTGCTGGCAGTTTTTTGAAGAATCCGGCTTTAGACCAAGTGCAACAAATATATCTAATGTGTAATGTTCCGGTGTAATGTGGAGCAAAGTCAGCTTAAGAGATAAACTATGCCAGAAAAAGGCCACTTTAGGACAAGACCAAAAAAGATGAAGAAGTTTCTCCGGTTCATTATTACAAAAAGAACAATTTGGGTTGTCTTTTACGCCAATTTTTGTTAAGAAGTCGTTCGTTGATATTCGTCTATGTAAAAATTTATATTGGAATTCAATAATTCTTGTACTTTTAGTATATTTAGCGGCCAACTGGTAGGCTTCCCGCCAATTAATCGCCTCCACATCATTTTCGTTGCAGTCTTTTAGCCATTTCTGTTGATTATGGGATGGTAACTTGCATTTTGTAGAAAGCAACTTGGTGTATACAAGTTTGCTCGCACTTTGGCATTCTGTTAATCTTACTACAAAGGTTTCATAATTGTTGCAGTTTTTGATACAGTTTGTTTTACATGTAGTCCAAAGAGATTTTAGAGCAGACACTAGTCCGAAATACTTTAAAAGACAAACTTTGAGGCTGTATTTTTGCTGCAGCTCAGCTAGTGATAAAAATTTGTTATGTTCATCTTTCAAATGTTTCACTTTCGTAACGCCTCGATCAAACCATTCACGATAGAAGACGGGGCAGTTATCGATTCTAATGAGTGAGTTGTACCATAAAGTTTGTTCAAGAAATTGTTTCTCGGACGTTATGTTTTCATCAAAATTGACTTCCGCCCAGATTGAAAGTATCTCTTTTATAAAGTTATTCTTAATCTTGAGATTCTCAATGGTATCTTTCTTGTTTAAATTACTAGTGAGGACTATTGTGCCTCCAAATCGCTCTAACTCTATATCAAAAAAATATTTCCATTTTCCCTGGTTCTCTTCATCCAGATATTTTTTAATCCATGTAGCTTTCAGGGACTTGTTAAAAGACTGTATGTCTATCATTTTAAGTCCTCCATTAGCATAATCGTTTGTTATAATGTCTCGTTTGATTTTATCTCCTTTTCCATTCCAGAGGAATGAAAAAAATAACTTGTTTACTTCTTTGATAATTTTCACATTTGTATGTAAAGGTGAGAGCACATAAACGAGCTGAGAGGCAACCAGACTTTTTAGGACCGTTATCTTTCCAACTAGGGTAAGTCTACGGTATTTCCAGCAGCTCAAAACATTCCGGACCTTATCTAGTTTTTCATTATAATTTAAAGTTGCAGTTGCTTCCGGATCATTTGAAAACCAGACACCTAAAGCTTTAACTTTACACTTCGGCCATTTAAAGTTTCTTCCGACAATTGATATTTCATCTTTGTTACAATTTGCCCCAATCCAAAAGGCTTCTGTTTTTTTGTCATTAAGTTTTAAGCCAGAGACTTCATAAAAATCGTCCAGTGTTTTGAGAGAGGCTATTAACGATTCCTTTGTTCCATCTAGTATAAGAGTTGTATCGTCTGCATACTGACTTAGTTTTATTTCTTTACCGTTTACAAAGATCCCTTTAATACTTTTATTTTCACGAATTGCCTTAGCTAAAACTTCTACTGCCAGAACAAACAGATAAGGTGAGAGGGGACAGCCTTGCCTTACACCTTTTTGGATTTCAAAAAAATCACTCGCCCAACCATTATTCAAAACGCAGCTTTCTGGGCAGCAATAGAAAAGGTTTAGCCATTTTAAGATGCTACTACCAAAACCAAAATGTTGAAAGGTTTTCCTAATGAAAGGCCATTCTATCGTGTCAAAAGCTTTTTCAAAATCTAAAAACAAAAGTAATCCTGGTATATTGTTTTCTTTAGCGTAGCAAATAACGCTATCGATAAGGCGGATGTTTTCTCCGATAAAACGACCTCTTATAAAGCCAGTCTGGTCGTAATTAATGAGATCAGGGAGGAGAGGTTTCAAGCGATTAGCAATTGATTTTGCCGCTATTTTATAGTCGCTGTTCAGGAGGGTTAGGGGTCTCCAATTCTTAATAAAGAACGGTTCTGCGTCTTTCTTAGGGATAAGTTTGATAATTCCTCTTCTCTGGGTTATTGAGAGTTTTCCAGTTTCATAAGCGTAGTTCAGTGCGCTAATTAGGGTGCTGGATACATCTTTCCAAAACACTTTGTAAAATTCGGCTGGTAGGCCGTCGGTCCCAGGGGTCTTTTCTGATTCCATATCTCTTAAAGCCTCAAGGCACTCTTTTTCAGTTAAAACTCCTTCGCACGAAGTTAATTCATGTTCGTCAATGGCTCTTTCATCACCACCCTCAAAGAAAACAGTTGTACCATCTTGGTTGTATGTGTTACCTTTGGATGAGTAGAGATTTTTATAGAACGCCACACATTCAGTTAATATTTTTTTATCCGAGGTGACAAATTCGCTATCGTTTATTTTAATTTGACTTATTGTCCCTTGCTTGTAGTGTCGTTTTTCTAAATTAAGAAAATACTTGGTGTTTTTCTCTCCTTCATTATACCATTTAGACTTAGATCTCAAAATTGCGCCTTTGGTGCGGATTTCAATTATCTTTTCAAGCTCAAGCCTGCTTTCATTCAATTGTTCCTCCAGGTGTAAGGAGTGCATTTCATCGGAGTTTTTATTATCGAGATCCGCTTCTAATCTGGCAATTGTTTGTTCCAGAAATGTTTCGCGTTGTTTAGCTTGCTTTGTTTTGCTCTTGGAGTAGCGGAGCGATTTTTCGCGCACTTTTAGCTTTATCATTTCCCAAAGAAGTGAAGGATTTACCGATTCGTCATTTTTGTACTCATCGAGTGTTTCCTGAATCGTTGTTTTAATTTGGTTTACGTAATCCAATTCAGTTAAAAAAGATGTGTTTAGTTTCCAGAAACCTGGTCCACGTAGATTTGAATGTAGTGATAAGCATAACGTAGTCATTGAGTGGTCGGTTTTATAACCTGGGACGATATCTGCGAGGGTCGTGATGTTAACTGTGCTTTGGCTTACTAGAAAAAAATCGAGCCTACAGTGTACTTTTGGATGACGTTGTCTCCAGGTAAATCTACTAGTGTCTGGGTGTAGAATCCTCCAGACGTCTACCAGATCTAGTTTCTCAGAGAATTCTTGAACAACTTTAACACTATTTTGGTGAGTTTTAGTAAGACCACCCATCTTGTCCTTCTCTAAATCCAGTACAAGGTTGTAGTCGCCTCCTATAATAATATCATCACATTTGAAATCTGCAAGGTGATCAAAGAAGTCAAGGAAGAAAGTTGGGTTGTCTTCATTAGGAGCATATATGTTCCCTAAAGTAAAACACTTTTCATTGGTTTTAATGTCGCAAATAATGAAGCGTCCTTGGGGGTCAGTGTAAGTTTTTTCTATTTGAAAATCGAAGTTGTTGTTGAAAAGGATGCATACCCCTGCTTTATTGCTCTTATAAGTACTAAAAATAGCTTGATAGCCCCATTCAGCAGACCATACGTGATTAGTATTTTCAGTGCAGTGGACTTCTTGTAGCATATATGCCGAGTAATTTTTTTTGCGAAG